TTCATGCAGAAACAACGAAGCAATCGCGGTTTCCATTTACAGTACACCCTTTCTGCCTCATAATGCAGGGACGTTTCGGGCACGTAAAATAGGCACATAGTAGATACATGTAGTAGCTCCTTGCAAAACTGGAAGAGAGAGAGAGAGAGAGGGTGAGGAGAGAGAGAGAGAGAGAGGAGAGATGTACTGTACATAAAGAAGTTGACATGTACCAGACCATGGAGGCAAGGTGGTATACACAGACAGTCACTCCTCTCGTGTCTGCATATCGGCCGTACAATGAGTGTGGCCAGATACACAATCACACACAAAAAATAGATTCTCAGTACACGCAAAGCAAGTTCAGAACTGATCTGCAGCTCGTTTACATAAATAGCTAGTCTTGATTATTGTGCGTATAGTATTCGTCGCATGTACTGTCAGACTCATGTTATGGTTTTATACAGTCCTATAATTGCTGTATAAATTTACGCATACCTTTTTTATATCCCCTTTTTCTTATTTGGCTGTGCTTCGATGTTGTAATTACCCATTGCTATAGATACACCGAGTTACTTATAGGCCTACCACTTTGTGCTTTCAGAATTTCGTGAAGAGAGATCAAAGTATTTGCCAAACTCGAAAGCAAACGCCTGTAAGATCGAGACTAATCCCAGGGCACTTTGAACGGGTAGCATCGAGCATCCCCCCCCCCCCCCCCCCCCCCCTCGCCAACAACAACCGGCTTTCGAAAGGATTTATGGACATGAATCCCGTGCATACGTCACAGCACGTCTAACTATAAATCATAACTCTTACCTTACCGTATACCCGGACCCTAAACGTATAATGGCTTGTGACGTAGGGACGGGATCTACGCCCATAAAGTGCTACCCCTCTCGAAATGCCGATCAGGCGCGCAAGTGTAAATGATTTCCTTTATAACCGACATTTGAAAAAAAAAAAAAAAAAAAAAAAAAATAAATAAAAGGTATGTTCATGTCAAGTCCATAACAGAAAGGTTGTTTTATGCCGATTATACCCTTGTCCATATAACGACCTTATGGAGGAAGAAGTACATAATTTCATCCATGCCCCAATTTATTTAGCAGTTTTCAAGAATTAACACAAATTAAGATTGTATTTCTGTCTCAATTTTTTGGCTATCAGATGCTCTGTCGACTGTGCCTTTTCCATAGTTTTATTTCTTTACGTAACCATAGGCCTATTCAAAAAGTTTGCGTTGATGGCTAGCTAGGCCACACTTATAACTTCCCGTCTTTTGTTTTTCGTCGAGCTCTGGGCCCTAAATAGGATTAGGCCTACGTAACGGTAAAAACAAAAGAAGCTCAAGTTCACCTGAGCGTTCTCCACGCACATAGAGAGTATTGTGGTGATAAGTGTGCACGTTTTGTCTTGATCTCCCCTTGTTTACAATTGCCTATTACAAACGTATTAGTACGAATATAACAAAAACAATAACACATCAACATTTGTAAACAAATCTCGACATGGATTATTCCAGCTCAGACGAGGAAGAATATAATTTTCAGCGGTACTACCTGGATGACATGGATGACGTCTCATTTCATGCCTCGCCTCAAGTATCATCTCATGTAGCGTCGGTAAGTATTTTGTACATGGTTAGTGTTTTATTTATCAACTTTTAATCTGTGTAATTAAACAAATATGTTACTAATGAACATGCTCATCATTGCTAATTAATCTTTATATTTATCTAAAACAAATGCATTACTTGCAAATGAAAATTAATTAATAAATACATTGTAATTCAAAATAAATTACATAAAACATGATCTGCACACAAGCAGATAATATGCAAATTAACTGGTTTCAATTGGATCCAGTTGGGTAACTGGAAATATTTTCCAATTGGAACCAGTTGGATAACTGGAAATGACTTCTAACTGGAACCAATTGGGTAACTGGAAATGAATTCCAACTGGAACCAGTTGGGTAACTGGAAATGACTTCTAACTGGAACCAGTTGGGTAACTGGAAATGAGTTCTAACTGGAAATGAATTCTAACTGGAACCAATTGGGTAACTGGAAATGAATTCTAACTGGAACCAGTTGGGTAACTGGAAATGAATGCTATAACTGGAACCAGTTGGGTAACTGGAAATCAATTCTAACTGGAACCAATTGGGTAACTGGAAATGAATTCCAACTGGAACCAGTTGGGTAACTGGAAATGACTTCTAATTGGAACCAGTTGGGTAACTGGAAATGAGTTCTAACTGGAAATGAATTCTAACTGGAACCAATTTGGTAACTGGAAATGAATTCCAACTGGAACCAGTTGGGTAACTGGAAATGACTTCTAACTGGAACCAGTTGGGTAACTGGAAATGAGTTCTAACTGGAAATGAATTCTAACTGGAACCAATTGGGTAACTGGAAATGAATTCTAACTGTAACCAGTTGGGTAACTGGAAATGAATGCTAACTGGAACCAGTTGGGTAACTGGAAATCAATTCTAACTGGAACCAATTGGGTAACTGGAAATGAATTCCAACTGGAACCAGTTGGGTAACTGGAAATGACTTCTAATTGGAACCAGTTGGGTAACTGGAAATGAGTTCTAACTGGAAATGAATTCTAACTGGAACCAATTGGGTAACTGGAAATGAATTCCAACTGGAACCAGTTGGGTAACTGGAAATGACTTCTAACTGGAACCAATTGGGTAACTGGGAACTAATTCTAACTGAAACCAGTTGGGTAACTGGAAATGACTTCTAACTGGAAATGAATGCTAACTGGAACCAGTTGGGTAACTGGAAATGACTTCTAACTGGAACCAATTGAGTAACTGGAAAAATTATCTTACTGGTTCCAGTTGCACTTCTTATTGGTTTGAACTGGAAATGAGTACCCATATTAATATTTTCCAGTTCGGCAATTTGTTTCAACTGGAAATTTTCTATTCCAATTGAAACCAATTGAAACCAGTTGGAGATTCCAACTGGTTTCAATTGGATTTTGGTCCTGGGTACCATCATAAAAAGAATTTGTTGGTTGATTTACAAATCAAAGGAGATTTTGAGAGAGAAAAAAATTAAATACATGTGTGGAAGAGAGAAAGAGAGAGAGGGAGTTTAAAAAAAAAAAGTAATGCACTAGTGTATTACTTGTAAGCTAAATGGCCGAGTTATCATGAAAAAACAAGAGTTTCCAGTGACGTTTATATTCAATTTAAAGTAATTAAGTTTCAATTATTATGTAATTCTTTTCTTAGAATAAGGTTTACCCAAATTTAGGTTGTTTTTTTTTCTTCTAACGTGTCCCACAATCAATAATTAGCAGGGCTTAAATTAATCCAAGGCCATCCAAGGCCAGGCCTTGGATGCCCCTTTGATTGGCCTCAATGCCCCTCTCATTGGCCTTGGAGATTTTGTGTGCCCTTTCCAATTCTTCCTATTTGTGCTGTACTATAGGAATGTGCCCTACAGAAAAGTGGCCTTGCCCTAAAAATATTGAAATTTAAGGCCTGAATTAGTAAGGGCCTATTTAAAATCTATGAAATAAGCAAAGTGCGACCCGGCCTGGCCAATCTGCGACTGCAACTGACGTTGGTTTGACGTCATTGTAAAAGTTCTTGTAAAAAGGGGTCTAATGATTGGTATATTTTCCTAGTTCACTGGACAAGACACTGTGTGAACGTAATATAACCCACATATACCCACCCCAAAATCACGTATAGGCCTACTATAGGGAGCATAATAAAAAAATCGTGTACATGATGGAGCCGACAAGATGCTCTATCCATGTGTCACCATTATTATCATAATTGATTGAACAAGAGACGGTGAGAAATAAGTTAAAATAAAAACCAACTTGTTCTTTATTGATCACCAGGATTCCCGTTTATGATTAATTTTTCTCATTTGGAGGGGGGATCCTCATATAAAATAATCTTTTATTTACCTACAGCAACTTAAAAAAACAACCTAATAAGGTAATTTTGTGAGCTGTTGTTTCAAGCAAAAAAAAAACAAACAACAAAACAAACTATCTAGATGATATGGTATATTTTTCTTTATCTTATTATTATTATTTATGTTTTGCCTCCCCCACAGGTTGAAGAAGAAGATATACCAGGACCATTGGGTCTGCAGGAGCAACTCCAGACCAAGCGAAAGACAGGAGGAAAGGCGACAGGACAGACTGGTAAAAAGGCGAAGGACAAGACCGCAAGAAAGGCCAAAGGAAAGAAGGGTGAAAATACAACAGACCAGGCGGACGGAGCAGCCAAAGGAAAGACGGGAGGAAAAGCAAAAGAAAAGAAGGGCGGGAAGGCAAAAGGAAACACGGGAGGAACAGCGAAAGAAAAGAAAGCACGAAAGGCGAAAGGAAAGGGGAAAACAAAAGCCAAGAAGTTTACAATGGGTGGAGTGACAGGTCGCCGCGTTCCCTCTCATATTGCAGAAAGGAGAGCAGAACGTATAGCCGAGCTAAGGGTAAGATTAGCATGTCCAAATTACTGATTTTTTAATGAATTAACGAGTCAGGTAAAAGCCATGCATGTCATCAAGGCATTGACAACAATAAATATCAAAGACCAACTTGGTTAGCATGGTTAATTAGGGGCGACGAAACTTGGGTATTTTTCATTATTCAAGGTATGAAAGATTCTAACGTCTAACTCCGCCCCCCAAAATTCACTCATTATGCCCCCCCCCCCCATAAAGAAATATTTTGCTCATTATGCCAATGGTCAAAAGTGCCCCCTCACAATCAACTCCCCCTACCGACGATGTATGTGCCTTTCTATGTACGTAAAGCCTTTCATCAAGACATGTATCATACTTTTATTACTTTGAATATCATGAAAAAGAAAATGCACACAAATAATTTACTCACTGAATTTTTTTACATTCATAAAGCTCACTTCACGAAAAGTCGCCTGAACCTACGCAATCACACATACACCCTTAGACATACCAGTCACTCTTTACTACTAGATTTGTGCATCAATGATAAAGACACAATAAATTCTATTTACATGATATTGGTAACTTTTATTTCAGACACTAATTGCGGGGTTAACTGTTGACAGGATGCGGGACGTGCTCCTGGGTGTTGTGGAAAGGGAGAGCGGCCTCGTGCTTGACTTACTTAGCTGTCCCCCCCGCGAAGAGCTGAGACCAAGCCCTCAGCCAGGATGGTGCTCATGTGGCAATTGTAGGCCAATGCAGAGGGATATTGAGGCCCTATGTTGCGGTTTGGAGCCAGAAAATTGCCTTTCTCGATCACAGGTCAGTATTCAGTCAAGACACGATAGGTCTTGTCATTAAAAATCTATATCACCATCCAATTTCAAACCGTAAATAAAAAATTCCATATTGTAAGGTAAATCAATATTTTTTATATGTCTACGCGGTTATTACATGTATCTTCAAAATACAATTTTGTTCAGGCCTACACATTTATTCAAAGCAACTTTCTGTACAAAATAAAACTTGAGGATTTCTGACAATGACAATTTATGTACAACAATATCCGATAAAATAGAAGTTTTACAATGATTTTTTGAACTGCTTCAATGGTTTTACTTAAAAATCAAGAAGAATTGGATGAAAGAAAACCCAGAAGTGAATGAAATCGGCAAAAGTGATGAATAATACGTCTTGAAGTGTAACGCTGCATGAAATTACACTTTCTTTTATTGTCACACTCTTCTTACATTTGCATTGAGAATAAACAGTGTACTACAATTAGTAGGCCTACTTGGGCACCATTTTCATTTTCTCCTGTTTACACGTTTTATTCAAACTTAGTTTTTCAAAACCAAATTTAATTCCTCAACTCTTCTTGCCTCTGAATTGATAATACAATACGTGCAACATGTACTTGGGCACACATTTTCCTTTACTTTTGTTACAATATTTACACATTTACACTATGGCTTTCTACGTTCAACATTACCCAATAAAAAATGAAGTTTGGCAATGAAAATATTTGGAAGAGTTTCACTTCGAAATTGAACTAGACAAATGCGACTTTGCTGCTATATATGCCTCCGCCTCTGACATATGAACTAAACTTCCAATCAGATAGTGATCATGTAATATGCCATGATTTCCTTTACTTTAACACTCTATTTGGATCTGAATGTATGATAAATAGTGCACTCAGGCACCAGTTAATGCAAATAAATAAAGAAGAATGAGAAATCTTTGAAAATTTTACTTTTTACACTATTCATTTCATATCTTCAGGAAATATTACTCAGAAAAATCTAGCTATGTTTGTCACCAATATTATCTTATTCTAAGATATAAAATTAAGGTTTGCTTCTATATACAATAATGTATTCATTGTAAACCAATATTGCATCAAAAACTGCCATGACATACAGAACATAACAATACAGTCCACTCTCATTATTACAAGATGCTCGGGAGCAAGCCAATTACCTTATCATAACAAAATCTTATTATACTGAACAAATAGGCACACACAGGTGCACATGTTTCAGATTTGGACCAGGAGAATTGCCTCTTTATAACAAAACTTATTGCATCAGTGCGCGTTACAACATAAGTAGATTGTATCATGTACACAGAAGCAAAAGTATTTCAGTACCAAATGCATCAGATGACTTATCACAAGTTATTTATTTCTAAATGAAAGTTCCCTCTTTTCTGTTTCTTTGTGCAGTATGTCCTGTCAATGATGGATCCGTTCTTTAATGGGCTTCAGAGGAGAATGTGGCGAAATCTAGAAAACCGGGAGGGAAATGAGCAGGAACCAGGTGCAGAGCACAACAGGATAAGATGGCAGGTCTACAGATCATTTACCTTATGGCAACATGGTAGACTGGGTATAGGTAACCGCGTCGTTGTTCCAAGCTGTGTGGTCTGTCGGGTGAGGGACGAATATCCTGACCCTAACAATCACTACACCGGATTCATCCCTGCAAACTTGTAATGACTGTTCCTAGGTAGAGAAACGGCTCCTCCTCCGGGCTTTCAGATCTTCCATGGGTGGTGGTGGGAAAGGGGCCAATCTTTCTCTGATTCTACGAGGATCGTTGGGGTGAGGGTCCGCGGCACAATAGAGGGGAAGGGTGTCTGTGAGCCTGCGATGAAGAATCTCCTCCATCATGCCCAGGATGTATGAATAAGTCTTGGGGACCTTTACCTCAAAGATCACCCAATCCGCCGAGTGTTTTGACCACTTGGATCTGCACCTGCAGTAAATTAAAAGAGAAGTCATTGTAATTACATGTACATGCGTTGTATTTATTTCAATAAAATAGGTTTTCATACACAAGTACCTCACAAACTTTCTTTCTGCAAGTACTAGAACAGGAATTACATAGCAGCTGAATGGTCGTAAGGTGCTCATGTATGAAAGCATGTCATACTACCGTTGTTATGCCAGTAATGATGGAGGACATTTTATGTCGCTAATTGACCACCTTCTGTTCACTCTATCGTGCTGCCAAACAACTGCCCAATGATCCTAGAAATATTTGTGAGAGACTTGTTCCTATTCCACCACTATATCCACGTCATTGTTATTATATCTTATTACCATTGTTTGTCTTCATATGCTAAGTATACTTTACTTTTCATGCCATATGTCTTGTAACATACATGTTGTAAAGGGAGCAACATTGCCCTTATATAATACATTTCAGAATAAGCGTCTGAGTAAATACCACAATGGTGGATCAATATGTGTATTTTAGTTTTTATAGTGTATCTTTACATGAGTTTATTGTTTCACATTTTCACTTCATGTACTTGAACTTTGCTTACTTCTCATTAGGGGCGCAGGATGAGATTTAAAACTAGTACTTTAAATATTTTCTATTAAATGTTGTTATTTTGTACATAATATTGCCGCTGGAGTGACAAGGTCATGTATCTAAAACTTTGATGACAATCACTTGTTTGCGTTTCCCCCAAAATGACTCCACCACAGCATGTCAATGAAAATGCAATCCCATAAGTTACTGCCATGTTGCCACCATTTTTGTGTTTTTGTTTTTCAAAACATTTGGCATTTTTTTAAAGTATTGTCACCTCAATAGTTACGTTTATTCCTATTTTTGGACGTTTTAACTTGCCACCTTGATAACTTACATGCAGTCCAATCCCTTTATAACATGGTGCTCAGCATGGGTACGTAATTATGAACATGTGTCGTGTTTCAAGTTTGGACTTGGAGAACTGCCAAATCATAACACAATCTGTTCTATCCGTGCTTGTTGTAATGGGAGTGGATTATATAACGTATGATTTTGTCTTCTATATTTTTCAGGTAAAAACAGTGATTCTAAATACGTAATTCAGGACTTTTGATGCCCTTTCATCTTGCATATGTAAATAGCATGTTGTATTCATTTCATCAAACACATTCTAATAAAGATTCATTTTTGTTTACTAAGGAACACGTTTGTCTTTTTTGTACTCATTTTGAAAGGTTTTGCATTTCATTTATATTTCAATGTGCAGATACATTCTACAATGGTTAAAGAAATCTTTTCAAAAGTGAATCAAATTTTGCATTGATTAAACATTGTTGACCTGTTAGTAACCATGGTACATGTTCCAGTAAACCCATGATTCAAACTTCCACATAGCATCCTTGTCAATTGATGCCAAAAACTTACTTTGGTTCTCCTTCAGCGTCTAGAGCAATTGGCCTGTCCTTGTGTTTGCTATAGTCAATCATAGCCAGCATATTTCTTGCCCGGTACGCCTGATACCTAAATGTATAACAGATTACACAAAATAAACGCCTTTTAATTATTGAATTGAAACTGTATTGCCTGCTTTTTATTATCACATGGTGGATGATTAAGAATATTCATAGACTTATGCATGTTGGTGTTTAAAATTTCTATATCTTATACTTGAACTAACTTATCAAAATACATACAGAACAAATGACAGTGTAAAACTTCAGAATTAAATGGGTCAAGTTCCACATCCTTATGTTAACTGGAGGGGGGGGGGGGGTCATTTTGACCCACCCCCTGAACAAAATCCGTGACTGCCACGCAACCTTTGACCTACGTTCTTCAATATCTAATCAGATCTTCTTCCTATAGTGATGCATACTATCCTTAAGTTTGAAGTTCATCTCTCTAGTGGTTCTTGAGATATCGTGATAACGAGCAAACAGGAATGATGGTCAACCCCAAAACAAGATGCCTCCGGCACCACCTCCGATGGCGGAGGCATAAAAATATACAATTCTTACTAACCCGAACGAGAAGCGCTTGCTGCAATACATTAGAATGTGGCTGTGAAGAGATTCCAACTCGCCGGTGTGCCTAGAATAACAGAAAAAAAGGGATAACACTATAACATTTCAATCCGTGCATGAAACAGCAGTAATAAATCAGAATGTTTATATGGCTTGTGATCTTCTATTTACATCTTGTAATGCTGTAACAGAAATGGACTATACACATGTAGTCAAACAAATAAAAGGAGGCATCCAATGCCCTAGTATGCGCAAAATACAATACAGTTCACCCCTGTTATACAAGCACAGATACAAGATAACCTTTTCCTGCTCCTAATCTGAAACTGTCGCATGTAAACCAGGGTCTGCAGTCCAATCCCATCGTAAATAGGTGCTCGGGACAAAAGCATTTACTTTTTTATAACGAAATCTCGCTATAGCAAAGCACAGAGACGCAGGCTCACACAATTGAAATTGGGACTGGGAGAGCTGCCTCCTTATAATAAAATCTTGTATCCACGCCCTTCAGAACAGAAATAGACTGTAAAACTAAACCTAGCATCTCGTTATTACAAAAGTGAAAAAAAAAAAAAAAATATTGATAAAATAGTACATCAATAAGAAAAAGTGTAAATTGCCAGTCCCTTTTCTCTACGTATCAGTTTTTAATTTTACTATAATAACAAGGTGCCCATTTAAGTTGGTCCCATATGTGTCAAAGTGCGGTTCGTATACTCGGTTGGTATACTGAATAAGCCCAAATTTGTTACTAGGTTGGAAAATTTACATAATTTCACCAATTTTATGATGTTTTCATTACTGTAAATAGCCTCATATTTCAAGTAGAAATAACCTTTTATAGGATAACATGTATGTAACAAAATCTATATCCCTTGTATTACCCTAAAAAACTGCTACAATAAATTTCAGTGATGTTGTACATTACTCAATTTACGCTTACCTGAAATTAATGAACTTGACAAGTGTATTTAGAAATCTCTTGTCAAGTATTATTTTGACCAGAGCATCATGAGCCTTTGTGCCAGACTTCAGCCACTCCTCCTCCTCCCTCTCGTCGATGTCCCCATGCTCGCAGTGTGCAACGCCTCCAAGCCCCCCGGTTATACCCCATTCATGCTGGTTGGTCACATGGTGCACAAGTCCTCGCCATTTGCTCTGTGGAATGAGAAAATTGATATCATAAAATGGTTAACACTAACTGCACGTTGGGTGGGGGGCAATCAAAACTGTAGCATCTTCAGAAATGTCGCTTCATGATTTTTTTCTTTCAAGTCCTACGGATCAATTTTCAGCATTAAAAAAAAGACAGGGTTTCTTCTTTTGCATCATTTTTGAGGCATCAGCAAGTTTTTCTGGTGATCAGCCCCTTAGGAGCTACACCCCCCCCCCCCTCTCCCGCCCCACAGACGGTCATAAAAAGTTCAAATTAGGCCGATTTAGTAAAGGTTAATTATGTCATTGTTCAACCATCAACATCTATTTCTCAAATATCTGCATTAAAGAAAAAATAAATGCAACCAGAGTACACTTACCAAGAAAAGTTGCGTGTTTCCTTCGCAGGTCTCAGAGCAGAACCAGAAGTGGTTCACCACCTTTTTGGTCCATTTTCTGAGGCTCTTGTTGGCTGCTACAGTTGATGCCTTTGATTAAAAACAAATTTTCAATTAAAACCACATTAATTGAGAAATCACCCTCTCAAGTATTTTAACATAAATGTAATTGCATCATGTAAACAGAAATCCATCAGCTGAGACTTTCATAGTAATCAATGTATTGTATGCAATGATAATCAGATAAGTCACGTATGTATTTTTAATAGAATATATTGTGCATGGCCATCTGTTTTTTCATGAAAGAGCAGAAGAAAACTACACATGTAAATTCTCCACCTGCATAAAACTATAGAGCAATTTTCACACATGTTCTCTTACCTTTGAGATTTTCTTTCCAAGGTTTTTGGCCCCGTGCCACACATCCCAACTATGGACAATTTCTGGATAGTCTTTTCCTGTGTAGTCAAAAGAAAAATAATGAAAGGCATTACACTACACGAAATATCCTGAATAAAAAATACAGATTTATGTATATTTTTAGGGGGGGGGGGGCTCATAACTGTAGTTCAAATAATTGTTGAATTATGGCAGACTGTCATTGGTACTATCATTGGCATGTCCTATTATAGATTTGCAAGTATACCAGATTCTATGTGGCCTCAAAAAAAGCTACGTTTAACTTTAGAAATCTGTAAGAGTTCGTATGGTAGGAAACCTTCAAATTGATAGTATTTCTACTTACTGATGATGGCTGATATCGTAGGGTGTGCATCGGTGATCACCTCTTTCACGTTCACTTTATGATCTTTAAGGGACTTTAGGGCTCTAACCAGTCCCTCCGGCTCCATGCCCCCACTCCGATCTTTTGTCTCCCGCTTGTCCAGGAACTCGGCTGCCAAGATTTCTTTTGTGTGATGATCCAAGAGTGTGTATGTGCAATACTGGGCACAAAAGCCTGGGGAGTCGTTTCTGGCATCTCCTAATGCAAAGAAGATTAAGCAATCAGACAACACATGAATTAACAATTACGATTAATAGACTACATTATATATTAATATATTATTCCAATGTACTCCTTTTATGAGAGAAGGATACAAGCTTCTATTATATCAAGACCATCTAAACATCTAAAGGGAAACAGAAAAGGTGACATTTAAAGACAAGTTCTACAATGCATTTCTCTCTAGTGGGAGGCAATGTAGGTGATTACTATAGACCGGACACCTGTTTTTATTGTGAGGTCACCACCAAATCAAGTATCACTGTAACTCTCTTGGTCCCCAGCACCTCAATTACGAATGGAGTGGATTGAACAAAAAGTTTTAATTACATTTCTATAATTTTTTTTTTTTTTTTTTTTTTGGGGGGGGGGGGGGGGGGGAGGTGACATGACACTCACCACACACAGCAATCTCCTGATTTTTCAGCTTTGTCCTTGTGGCATTAATGGTGGCCTCAAACTCTGCCTCGATGACAGGACACAAATAGTGACTCTGCATAGCAGAAAACAGTCGGGATGAGAACATGTGGAGATTCATGAAATCGGCCAGTCTCTTCACTTTCAAGAAATTGTTTCCTGAAAGAAGAATCGACGAGGCCAATTTCATGTCTCCCACATGAGACCCATTGACCGTTTCCTGCATGCAGAGTCTGCTTGTATGTCCTTGCTGACATGTCTGTAATTTTCAAAAAAGGGAGAAAGCAATTGATTATTGATTTGTGTAAAATTCTTTATTTTATTTTATATTACCCGGTACGTGACTGATGATGATCTGAATTATATCCGAAGGAACCCTCACATTATCACACTTCTTTTATACAACGAAACAGATATACATTTATATGGCAAATAGTCAAATCATGTCTTGTATCAACAGAGAGAATAAAAAGAAAATTGTCACTTTAACAGTACATCAATTGAACAAACACTCACATGGCTTTACCAATTGAACAATGAAATACAATTACCCAAACAATATGTGCAGACGTGCCTGCCTCCACGACATCAACTTGGTTGTTTTCCCGACACATCCCACATGTCGGCCTTGCCTGCTGAGCCAAGCGCTTGATCATGGAATCAGTGACTAGAAACAATTTAGTACTTGCTGCTACCGATGCAGAAGCCAATTTGTGGTGCAGGCCAGAACACGAAACTTCAGCATCCTCCTCCAACACACCAAACACCTCCTCGTCATCACGTATAGTCGGCAAGTTCTTACACTTTGATCTGTAAAAGAACGAGAGAGACAGGAATATAGACTTCACAACAGATAAGCATGATCAACAAAAGATATATATTCGATCATTCCAGGTAAGGAATCAACAAAAATAGATGACAACTTTGACCTATCATTGTGCCTCTATTGAATGAATGTGTGTAAAAATTGTACTTTCCCCAATAATTTTTAAAAAAATTAAGCAATAAAGTTATCTTTAAAATGTTTATATTACTATACATCATGTGCATTACAAATGTTATTATCTAAAATGCTTCACCTGTTCATCTGATTAGTTAATACATGCTGTTATTTTTACACTTACTTATTCTGTTCGTGATTTGGGTGCCAGTTTTCATCATCATCCTCCTCCTTGATGTCGTCGCTCCGCTCTTGAGGGTAGATGAAGTTCCCTTTCTCTATGCACTCCACACTGAAACTGTTAAATGAACAAAAAAATTACAATACAAATTTGTCAAATTGTGTTCAAGTCCACACTCGATTAATCTTCTTACAGTAGAAGGCTCATGAATTAAGTGATAAGACTTTTATCAAAACACAAAAGGGAAATAGCACATGTTAGGTATTTATTAACAAATTTACAAAGTGTTAGAATTATTGTATTCAAACCCCAGTTATATCATACAATTTTGCGACTAAATTTGATGGGTAATACTCAAATAATTTTGAGAAAAAAGGCCTGATCTACTTGATCGGGCTGATTCATGGGATCAAAAATAGCGAGCTATTTTATGACATCGACATAGTGAAGAAATTCTTATACACACACAAACATGCAGAGCCTGTTCGATAGTACCTTTGCAAACTTTGTTGGCAAGGACAACGCTCGACAAAAGATACATATGGATCCCATAAATTTAATAAATAACAACAAATATGATATGACACATTAAAGGCACTGATTACCATCAGGATAGTGATTTTTCACTTTGTAAGAAAAAAGCAACATCACAAACCACCCCTTTAGTGCCAGTTAAACATTACTTACTTAGAATCAGAATCTTCCTTAGAGTGTGAAGGTCCTTGCAGCAGCGTTGGTCTACAGCAAAACAAAGAAAACATGTAAATGTTTTTTTCTTTCTATGAAGAATGAAATCAGTACCACGCTTGAAATGTTACAAGAAAAAATACCGAAGTGACACAGTAACTACCGGTAATACAAACAGTATCCATACTTTTCTTTGCACACTAAAACCACAAACATATATTTCATTTACATTAACTACATCTATTTATAAAATACAATAGGTGCATAATTGTGATGTTCCAGTTCATAAAACAAACAACTCTAGATCATAATTAATAATATTGTGTACCTTCCAGAGTCCTGATCTGTCACATCCTCGTCAGAATTCAGAAGCGGCTCCACTCCATGCATTTCATCACTACAATGTAGATGTAAAAGTTCCGGAATCGTTTATAAATGTACAGAAGATAAATTCATTTAACTTTCAGTTTGGTATTGGGATTATAAGATTTAGCAATGTAGACTTGATCATAATTAAATTACCCAGTACATACATGTAAACCAGAATGTTAAACTCATTAAAACGCATCAATTAACAGTATTTGTAAGTCCATGGTTGTAAATTTCACAGAAGACTCTTGAAAAAAAAAAAAAAACAATGATTATTTGTGAAAAATCCTACATAAATCCAGGACATAATCTTATACCAAGACTGAATGTATGTTACTAACTGAAAAGGATGAAGGATCTGCATATTACATGGTAAGAAACCTTACCTTTCCGGAAATGGAGGACCAGGATATGCAATGTCGTTATCATCATTGAGACTCCTGCAAACAAAAGAGGATGAAAATATTAATGACCCAAAACACATATCCAGTGGCAGTGAATTTACTGGCAAAACAATGTAAACACATTACATTCAGTCTCTGTACACCAAAGCATTGTTTTATGAGTTGAGATATTCAGCAAATTTGAGAGAATACATTCATGTAAAGTCTGTACTTGTAGGCCTACAAAACCATGGCATATTTCCTATAAAATTGAAGGTAAGATATGTAAACAAATGATGGTTAATTTTAACAATGTACAGCAAGGAGAGCTTAATCATATCCTTGTAAACGTAATGAAATAAATATACAAAAGCAAAAAGAAATTAATACATAGATGTAAGCCTACCTTAAAAAGCAGACGGTATGTACAAAAAAATTGTCAAACCATTGGTGGTCTGGATGCCATACAATAATTGGACAGAGTGTTTATTTTGCAATTCACCATAGGGAACAAAAAAGTATAGGTCTCTTTACAACAAGAAAAGGGTATCTTAGTGAGGAGAAAATGATAATTCATACTTGTGACATTTCGGCCTCTTTAATCTTTGCGCACGAGGGGAATTGAAGACAGGCAAGCTAAAAGAAAAGAAAGAAGACATGAAAGCAATATGACTTATAAACTCTTTCGTTATTATATATCTTGTATACAAGTATGTCCTGCATTGGTAGTAACGTACCATGACTTGGACTACTACTCTTATCAATATAATGAAAGTAAATGTACAATTCTTTTTTATATTTTTCATATTCACAATTCTATATACTCAAATTATGTTCCTTGATTGGAGCCTTACAATAAAGTGATACAAAATCATGATGATCTTGTATAAAATAAAGTTACACTCCTTTGCATGTTTACGATTCACAGTATGCCAAAATATGCATTTGGTAGATCAGAATCTAAACACAACAAATTTTCAGGTCTACTAAAATCTAAAAACTCAGCAACTTGCCCCCACCCCCTCATTAAATCCTCAATCCGCACCTACAAGGTAACTGGTTTTAAGGTAAAAATAATTCATACCTGTTGCATTCAGACTCGTTGAATTTTGGCACACGTGGGGAGTTGAAGAAAGGCAACCTAGAAAAAAGAAAAAGGCATAAATTATAAACATAAATTCATGTTGTTAGTTTTGTATGATAACGAAAGTTGCATCACTCTTTTCATGACATGATTGATGTTATATCCAAATTTGTGTCCATGACTGGTCTTCTTACATGCCATAGCCGCCTTGTGTAACAAATCCAAGTATTAATTATTCCATCTAAAAACTGATTTTGTCTATAATGCTTGCATAAGTATTGAATTGTTAAGTATAAGGTAATCCTTATTTTCACCATGAATAGATCTTTATCCTTCTTACCTTGCAACAGACATGGGCGTCTGTGATCCAGTACATGTAGCAACTGCCTGAGGTGTCATGGCCTTGGGGGTTCTAAATGAGAGGGGCAAAAATAATGAAGGACAATAATAATACAGTCTACTTTTCTTATTTTCTAATATCAGCCTACACAAATAATTTGGAAAAAGGGGCTTATTTGTTACTCCTCCGTCTTTGACTTGGCAGCACCTCAAAGGCTGTCCCTCTCTTCTGCTATATTACAATCGAGAATCAATGTGAGCCGATTAAAATCTGGCCATCCGAATAAGGTGCTCTCGGGGGGGGGGGGGGGGGGGGGGGGGCTTGGGGGGGGGGAGTTGGTGTCAAACAAAACTAATTGCGACGTTTGAAGAAGAAAAAAAAATCATAAAGCAACAAAATTGCTGAAAATACATGACAAAATTTGTCGGCTCTGAAGCTATTCATAGATTTACTAAAACCAGCAGTAACACTGACTGAGCCATCTACTGCTACTGGAGCCGAGATCTACATACAATAACTTGAACGATTGGAGGAAGAACAATAAGAAGAGGAAAGAGAAAAAGCTCCCATAAAGCAAGTGAGAAACCACAGAAGCTAGATGTCTTCAATTTGCCTAAAGATCTAGAATTGAATTGGGTCTCGAGTTATCCCTGACCCTTGCCCGGCCCAGCAGGACTTGGGACTGACTTTTTTTTTTACAGACAATTAAATTAGAGCTAGATCTACCATAGACATGCAGATACCAGGCCTATAGGGAGAACTTGGCCAACAACGCGCTGTGATTGTGTTGGCCAAGTCTTCCCTAGATCTATAGGCCGGGCATCGACATGTCTATGGTATATCACAGATCAGTATCATATTCATACGTACTGACATAGAAATAACTTCAATAGATCATATATTGTATAAATCAAAGTTCATGTCGCTATAATGTATAGATCTCTAGTCTAAGACTAAGTGGAAATTTTTCGGGGTGATAATAGATCTAACGTTAGATCTATTTCATTGATTTGCGCAGATATATTTGCGCATGTCGGTTTTCTAAAAAATTTCAACTTCAATTTAATTTTAATAGAGCAAAAAATTCTCTTTCTTGTGGTACCAAGTACATCAAAATTGGATAAGGAGATGAAGTGTCAGAACGGCGTCGAACTTTGATTTTACCCTCAAAACCATGACCATTTTTGCAAGCATATTTGAGTGAAAAAGGGCAGAAGATATTGCTGTGTGTCCGGACACCCTAGTAGTCTAACTTTCTACTCTCATAATGGAGACTTCACAAAAATTGGGAAATTAAGCTTTTGCGTATGTCCTGAACTAGGTCTAGTCCAAAAAATGTGGAAATATTTATAGTATTTTCATATATGCAAAACTCCATAAGGAGAAGCAAAGGCTCATTCAGTCCAGCTTCAAATTGCCTCGGCGATAGCAGTGATGAATACCAATGCCGTGCATGCATCGCGCCGCCCCAGCCCTGGGGCAGACGCGACGCGTCTCGCTCCAACTCAGTGCGTGCCGAGCATTCATTCGCGATTCATTAATTTCAGAAGACCCAATAATGCCAATATTACTTTGACAACATTGAATATAGATATTGAATTTTTAGATTTTGTGTTTCAAACAAAAAATTGTCGTGAGAAAGAAGTAAAAGATAGATCTAACGTAAGAGTCAAGAGACATCAGAGACTTACGGGTTAGGCCTACTGTATGATTCGATGGCCACTGCAGCTGCCTCCCCTGTCGATCTCAATTTCTCCTTTTTTGCGATCCTTTGCAGCTCCTCAAAGTACTCCATCTTTACCCACACCGCTTTGTGGGTATTTTCGTATTTTAGCTTGTTCAATCTTCTTGCAAGTTTTTCTGCTGACACACTTCTCTTTGGTTTGACGTTAGGCATGATGAAACGCTAATATTGTGAAACTACTCGATAGTACGGTATGTAATGGCGCGGCTTTCGCTCGATCGATCTTTATCCAAAGTCAGTCCAAAGTCAGGGTGCTAAATTCACTCCGCTGCAGTCACAAAACCAGCTAGCGCTGGGCGATTTCAGAGCGGCCTTACAGTCCGCTACCAGCCCGAGGAGAAGCTCACTGTGCGGTATTCTGTGCGAGAGGGAGCTATGTCGCCGCTACGAGTTCATGACGATTCCTTGGTATCGTCATCAGCGTTCAATTTTAAATCATAGATATCTTGATAAAATACACTACCGATTGGCTTATAAACTTCAGGCAGTTCCTGTTTGACCCAAAGGTTTGAAATTATGATAACAACATTCGCTGGAACACTGTTTTTTTTTAAAATCATGCACGAAGTTAACCAATGCCTTTAAGAAAATTCAGCTTTTTGTGTAAGTCTCATTTGATTTGTTGGATATAATTATAAATAATTATTTTCATCAAGTGACTGTACATTACATTTTGTTTTGTTTACCAGCGGTTTAAGATTGAATCGAAAGATTTCAAAATGTCTTTGAAAGTTAATAGCATAAAGGATAGTCAGTGTGTCCATCCGACTGGACACATCTATGTATCCCTTATTGTTTCAGAACTCCATTAAAAAAATTGTTGATATTGATAGAGTTGAAAATGATGTTATCTGTGAATTTTGATTGAATCTGCCATGAGAAAATATAAGAAAATTATGAACAACTGTTTCTAATGATTACGCCGTTTTGCTTTAAAATGTGATCAGATTCCTAAATTGAATCTAATACATTCCATGTGTATCTTGATACAAATTAAGGGACTGTAAAAGATCAGTTTTCTTTTTCCTTAGACAATTTAGGTGGGTCAGTTGTATGATTCGGCCGCTTCGAAATGAATTTTACAAAGCTTAAACAAATTACTGTTTAATTAATAACAATGTAACTAACTGTCGACTGTAATCTTGTAGGTCCTATATACATTTTGTCATAGTGAAATATAGAGACAGATTTTGTCATGTCTTGATTCAATTTACACAGGTCAGTGTGTTGTAATTTATGATGACTACTGATGACGTATCCGATTTAAATTCAATATAACTTATAGATTATTCATTAAACCACAAATGATTAGTATTTACAACGTAGAAAAATAAAAATAAGAAAGAAAGAAAGAACATAAAATGAGGGGTCCTGTCTGCTATAATAATGGCGGGAAATTGTTGTTTTATCATGTGATCTGCCTGTCTATTTTTTAAAGAGACAGATTGAACTTGTAAAATGGGGAGAAATCGATGAGAATTATTTTTTTGTTCAACTATTAAATCCTTTTAATTCATGATGAACTATACTGAAGTCATGAATTACGAAATCTTGAAATATTTCTTCAAGTGAGCACCTTAATGTGAAACTGCGTTTCTAAACCCTAGATTTGTTCAGTGGTTTTAATGCCTATTATTTTTTCTATAAGAGGGGCGCATAATTGTTATAACGTTCCGTTTATTTTTCCTTCATTTTTTTTTTCTGTGTTTATGACTTATCAGTGTGTTTTCTTTTCGAAAACTTTTCCGCTATGTCGCATTTCGACCATATACTGGATATTATCCACGATACGGGGAAGGTCCCGGAGTTACACATCACTTTTTTTCAAATTCCCCTTCCCACACTCAACTCTTATGGTTTCACATCCTTTTAATCATTCCCTGAATTCCCTTTTTTTTCCCCCTCAGTGTACTCTTCGTCCTCTCTTCACATCTCTTTAAATCTCTTTTCTTTCCACTCGCCCTCTTCACTTTGGAAGTCTATATATTCATGATTATAATTATTAAGAGTTTTTTAGTCTATTTTCCCAATTATTACACTTGAAAAAAACATCTGGTTTTAAATATGTATAATTCATCTCCCCCCCCCCCACCCTCCTCTCCCAGCCTCTTCCTATCTTTCTAGTGTCTCTTTCTCCTTTCGCCATATCCCTTTTACATTGTCTTTTTTCCTCCCCTCTTTCATGCTCTTATTCTAATCGCATTTTAATCTGATTTTGCTGCGACGTCTTTCCAATTTTTGTAAACATAAATGTTTCTCGAATTGTATTTTACTTGTTTTTTCTTTTGTATTTTTATTCATCTAAAAGTCTTTTATACCCAGGTATACTAAAGATTGAGGAAAAATCACGGAAAATGATGTCATTTCAGCAATTTGAAAATCACTGATATCGAATTATAAATAAACCGCGTTTAAATATTACCCCCGCCCCCAATCAGTACGCCAGTGCCTATTTTCGTCTTGGTATGGGTACAGCTCAGATTAGATCTATTCTACATTTTATTATGCAGGCTCCATGCCCAGGATTGGGAATTTTTCATTTTACACAATATATTTAAGGCCACCATAGCCATTCACCTGTCTAGCCAATCAAAAGTTGCGACTCAAAATTAGTTGATGATTTGGCCAATGAAAGCGTCTGTTTCATCTCTGGCCAATAGTGGTTCTCTTGACGTGAGATATCTCTCAAAATGGTAGGGTTAATATTTTAGTGTTCATTAAATCTCCCTCAATCACAACCATCCTATAGAAATAATGACATTTTTTTCATATTTAGTAAAAAATGATATATGAGAGTTATATAAGTAATGTTGAATGTTAATTTGGTGTGCTTCTCGAGTAGAAATTTGCACACTTACTGTTGCTCCTGCGAAGATTTAATTTCCGCAGAGACTACATTCCTACGTGTGTATTGTAATGTAGACATGGTCGATGGTGGGTAGCTGTATGAAAAGTTGTCCGAGAGACCGAGACTACCTACTGATTGATTTAAAACTGACAAGGATTTTCTTGTATAATGATTAAGATTAATAAAATTGTATTCCTTACTTTACTAAAAGCCAAATAAGCCAACAGTCTCATTAAAACAAGTGGTGTATGAACGGTATTTTCAGCATGTTAACGGGGAAAGGTGTGTTCTGCCATTGCAAAACAGTTCCCGTGGAGTGCGGTGCACCGTGTTTATTGTGTTTGTGTAGGCCTAGGCCTAAGACCAGATGATCATGAATGATTATGAAACCTGAATTGAAAGGGAAGAGGTGTTCAAACTAGTCTTTCAGGTTTGGGGATTGATGTACATGTATGATGTTGATAACTATCAACATGCCTTGGCATGCATTTGCCTGTGTGTAAATACTGCAGAGCCAGGCCCAGGCCCAGGGTCTGTTTTATTTTTCAGACCTTGCGTCAAACAACAAAGACACTAATGATGTGAACAGAATCACCTACTCCCAGTAGGGGCGCTGGTCTGAGAATGAGGATTGTCCGCATAAACAAGGATATCCTCGTTAACGTGGTCAAAACGCGTCCTAAAATTCAAAATAAGGTCAAGGATCGGTACGTTTGCGGACATTAGGTCTCTGTCTAGATCTATGCTGCATCAATGAGAAATGCATCATGGAGCATCGTGATGGAATCCTTTGTTTGCAACACCAACACGCAGATCGTTGCACAGACAATCGTTATTTTTTAGGCTGCGATTTGTCTGCGTTTACAAGGATATCCTTGTTTAAAGACACACTGCCATACTTGTAGCTACTTCTAGTACTTGCTCCCTCTATATAGAAAACTTCCCTAATCGGTGCCTGTTGGTCCCCCATGATCCTCTTTTCTTATGTTAAATGAGAGCTGAGTTAATGAGATAGCCACCTGTCACAGTGACCTCGATGGCTCTCTGTGTGGTCTAATCCCTTCTGGCCCAGTAGTGGTGACGATCTTTAAGCGGACGATCCTTATTCTTGGACCAGCGCACGCACTGCGATTCCCGCACATGATAACATTTGCGAACTACCTTCAGCATTCGCTGAAGAGAGTAGCTTCTTTTAATTGCAGCTATCCATCACATTTAAAATCACTAGACAAATGGAGTCTAATAAAAAAAACAGGCATTTGTCTTACTTAAAATTAAATGACAACTTACAAGGGAGACGATGTAGGCTAGTCCTACATGACGCAAAAATTTGTAAATGCCAAAATATGTTTTAAAAATTTAAGATTCATGACTTGTTTAGGGCATGGTTTTTGCCCATTTTATTTTCCGAACTCGGTCACAAATCAGATTCATCTCTGTTATTCATTTTTTTGTTTTAATAGACACTACAGAGCTAGTCCGTATAAACTTTTATCAAGAATAAATATTTTTTAAACTATATGATTGAATAAATTTTTTTTGACAATAACGACAGAAAAAAATGACAATAGGATTAGTAAATGACAGTAAGGCAATAGGTATTTTAAGGACAATTGACACCGCTGCAATTGAAGGGTCTCAAATACATTCTTCAAATGATCACATCGACCAAACCCTTTGAACTCTTTTCCCTTTTCTCTCTCTCTCTGTGCATTTGATAGGTGAACGTTCCAAAGAACCGCCGCACATACTGCAAGAAGTGCAAGAAGCACATGAACCACAAGGTCACCCAGTACAAGGCTGGTAAAGCTTCACTCTACACTCAGGGTAAGTCTTAATCAGGGATCCGTTATTGTTGTTGTTTTAGCCTTAAAGGTACTATGTCCCTTTTGCAGCCAACCTCAAATTCTGTAGAACTTTGCAGGAATTATGAATATGTCATGTATGTCCTATCTGTGAAATTTAAATGTTAGCAGTGTCCTCATATTCAAATTATGCAAGGAAACCTGTTTACTTGCTAGACTTCACTGTCAGACACTATTGAGTGACTGACTGGCTTTTTTTTTCTTCTTTGGTAATAACATACATGAAAAGAGTTGTAAAGGGTACATGAGCATTTGTCTACATCAATAACCCACTTCTTGTGATGGCCAAGATTAAACTGATTGAATCTTTGCGCAGCATAAAACGTATGACCATTCGGTACAAAATTGTCTGAAAATCAAGACTATTACTTTTGGGCTCTATAGCCCTAAAGTCGATTTGACAACTAATAGTCGTTATTTTCCCACTTGAAGACATTTTCAAGCCCCACCTTTTTTAGGGAAGTTCTAAATTAGTATTATCTTTAAAATGCATTTGGAATTTATCTTTTTCATTTTTTTGGCCTGCAAATGGGACATAGTACCTTTAAGGGCGTGTGTCATTCAATTATGAATATTTACACCAAATTCAAGTTGTATTAACATTTTTAAATGGATGCAGAAAAGAGAAGGAAAAAAATAATGACGCTGTTCAATTTTTCACATTTTACAGAGATTCAAGACTGGCTGTCTACATAGATCATTTGACCGATTTGTGTTGTTGTTGTTGTTGTTGTTGTTTTAATTTATAGGCGTTTTTCATTCAGAAGTGAATATTTACGCCTCTTCTCTCAGGATTTTTATTCCTTTAAAATTAGATTTACTTTTTTGATATATAGATTTGGATAAATTGGATTTTTAAAAGCTAAACTTTTATTTAATGATGAAGAATTCAGTGGCTGGCGAGCAAAAGGCTTATCGGCTATATAGGACGCCCAAGGACCAACTCGGACACGGTACGTAGTGACAAGCTTCTCAACTCAGCCTAATGCTGAGCCTAGGCCCTCCGACGTCCACCAATATGTCTAGTCGTCTCCATCGTGTTTCTTCAAAATTTTGACCGAAAACCAAAAAATAAAAAAAAAAACAGATCATGATACATGAAGATTTTAAACGTTAATATAGACAGTTCTCTCTTCTAATTTCTTTTTTTCTTTTTTTCTTCTTCTTTCTCACTCTTCTTCTTCATGTACATGTATACTCACTATAAAAAGCGAAACATATTGGGCTCAAATAATTATGTGCGGTGCAAGGTGGTTAGTAGGGGTACAGGTATACCCTTTTAGATCTAACTACGAAGTTAACCAGAGCCTGTTGGTGATTAATATCTGTTGATTTCAGGAGTATTGGGATTAATTCTTCGTTTTCTATTCCAGATTCTGTTATAAGCATGGCTCTCTCTATAAGAAAGAGTGGGCACTTACATAAAAAATGTTTAACTGTTTCTTTTTGGTGCTCACAGTTTGGACAATGACCTGTCTCATGTTGATTCAACTCAAAAAGATTATTATTTAAACCTAAGTTTCCCATTCTTAGGCGATGAAGAATAGTTTCATGATATCTGTTGTTCAGGTAACACACAAATGTTTTTGATACTAGAGTTTGCGTTTCCCGTAGGGGGGATGATGTTTCATTCCATCTTTTTTGCCATATCTCTATGTAGTATTTCTTTATAACATAATTTGATTCTGCTCTGGTAAGAGCGTTGTTGATTTCTATATTTTTATTTAGTCCTGCTTTAGCAAACTTATCTGTTATCTCATTGTGTTGTAGACCACAATGACTGGGAATCCATTCGAAATAGACCTGGGTGCCCTTGTATTTTAGTTGACTACACAGGGTTAAAATTTCAAAAATGAAAGATTCGTCTTTACGAGATTCTATGGCCTGGAGTGAACTCAAAGAATCAGAAAAGATGACTGCCCCGGTGTAGAGTCCTGGGAGTTGTAATAGCCACGTCAGGGCAAGTACAATTGCGGCCATCTCTGCTCTATAAGACGATGTGTAATTAGCCAGTCTCTTAGATTGAGAAACATCATAATAAGGTACATGAAATGCAGCAGCAGCAGAGTCTTTATCTGGCGATCTTGATCCATCTGTATATATGTGTAAATAATTTGTCCATTTCGAATTTATCAATTCTAGGGCTGCTTGTTTTTGGGCAAAACAGATATCTGTTTTCGTTATTACCTCTTTTAGCTCTGATGACACATGGGGAGGGAGTATTTTCCAAAAGGGGTGTGTTGAAAAAATACTTCATTGGATCTTCTAGTATGTAACTGAATTTTAATGTACAATCCTTGGTTCTACGTCCAAAAGCTAATCTAGAGTTAGTACCTCCAAGAATATTAAATTGCCAACAATCTTTCACATCTTCGTTCAGAGGGTGTTTGCGCATACTCTCGATTTGTGTATTTTCAGGCAATAGCCTTAATTCAGGCCCTGGTGAATTATTTTTAGACTATAGTTTAGGCCTTTTTGTGTACAAAATAGCTCATTCTAGGTGATTTTCAGGCCCTCTGATCAATTCTACCTGGCATCCCTGCTTAATGATCAGTGATAACAAAATACAAGGTAGCATAGCAATCGGGTTGCTGTCAAAGTGTTAAGGACGGTGAATTTCTTGGCAAGAAACCTGGGGGATGACACAGATTTTGTGCTGGGTAAGTTGTGATTCTAGAGCAGAGCAAAATATGACCGAGTTCCTATAGGAAATATTTATTCAGATGGTCATATCTCGGCCAAAACTGAACATATTAAAAAAAAAAAATTGTTTGAAAATTGTTTGGTACTCTATTGCGCTATATTTAAGAAGCCAACATTTTTAATATGATTGATTGATGGTTTTTCTCATGTATTTCACTTTATAGGTAAGAGGCGTTACGACAGGAAACAGATGGGATATGGAGGACAGACCAAACCTATCTTCCGAAAGAAGGTAAGTTAACCATCATTTTCCTCATGATACCAACCAACTTGTAGCATCATCCTTGGTTGTAGGCTTCAGCGACAGTGTTCTTAAGTCACTATTTCACAGTAAACTGATTTCTAAATTAAACCCTGGACCGAACAGGTTACCTAACCCTGACCTAATGTAATTGCTGCCCTAACTGTAGCTGTATGTTTCTGACAAAATAAAGCCCGGAGCAATCGTTTCCAAAGCATTTTGACTAAACATGTGTACCTTACTCCTAACCTGACCCTAAAACCTAATTTAAACTCATTTGCAACTCTAACCTCAACCATATATCTTTGACAAAATAAATCCTGGAGCAACTATCACCAGAGCAAATGTTGGAGTACCTAGTCCTCATTAGGATGGTCTGCGGATCACAGTTATTTGGTTAACTTTTTCCATACCTGGGCAGCTCGACCGGATGCACCTGCTATTGCAATATTTATATATGCTTTCTATTGATTTAATCTCAATTAATGTTTGTTATATTGTTGTAATTATGTGACTTGACTTGCCGAATAAAATAATAATAAATAATAATAAAATGGAATGAAACACAATCAAGTGTGCGACATAACTGTAGATGCCTTTTTCCTTCCGAAATTAATCATTTTTCGGTTTCATTTTTTATCTGTGATCAGGCCAAGACCACCAAGAAGATTGTACTGAGGATGGAATGCACAGACTGTAAATTCCGCAAGCAGCTTCCCATCAAGAGGTGTAAGCACTTCGAGCTGGGAGGAGACAAGAAGAGGAAGGTATGTCATATTTTTCATGTTTTTTGCTCTCTGTGTGCTAATTTCAGTTTGTGGGTATAGATACTAGGGGATTGTTTCACAAAGACTAAGATTGACTTTAAGTTGGACTTACTATGACAGGCCATTCATGCCACTAGCTGCTCTCACCATTATGATCTTTAGATAATATTTTTTCCTTCAATAATGAATTATCAAAAAATGTGGAGTTGCGACTATGATTTGTACGTCCGTTGAGAGACCAATGCCAGTAAATGGTGAGAGCAAACAGTGGCATGAACGGCCTGCTATAGTTAAGTCCAACTAGTTGAGTCGATCTTATTCTTTGTGAAACATGCCCCAGCTCTATATCTACTGTGAAATCAGAAACTTTCACAAATTACTAAGGACAGCATTTTCTTGGGAAAAAAGCTTTTGAAAGTTGAAAAATCTCATGTTTCGTCGATTATGATTCAGTTACGTTGGTTTTGAGAGTCTCAAGCACTCCCAAAAATTGCAAACTTTTTAGTTTTACTGTATTCTTGGTGAAACTGAAAGGCAATTATCTGTATCGATGTAAACAATACTTTCATTAATTGAATGCTAAATATATATATATATATATATATATATATATATTACTCATTGCGGATATAGTATCAAAAATAATATCACTAGTGATCTTTTAGATCCCTTGTTGACCATACATTGCGGGACAAACGAATGTCATTAGCGATATTATTTTCAATACTTTCATTGCTTGCAGGAGCTCTATTTCAACTTGCTATATTAAGAGAAACTTTCGTTTGTTCTTGTTTTTGTTTAACTACAGCTCTTTTATGGAGCTGAATTTCTCTTCACTCCTTGGATATGAATTTTTTTGATCCACGGAAACATGTAGTTGTCTCTCTCAAAGAATGTTTAAATGGTTATAGCTGAAAAGAAAGCTGGAGTCTCATTCAGATGTTGCATTGAAAAGCTCAAAGTGTGCTCTTAAATGACAAATGGTTTCTGTATTTAGAGGAATTTTAAATTTGTAAAGTATGAATAAATGTGAAAAAACCTTTCTTGTGAAGTCATGCTTTTGACCACTAGAAGAAGGATCATAGGATATTAATAATGAATAAGATTCCTTCCCATTGTTGACTGCAGCGCTTTTTGTAGTCTGCAGGGGGAAAATGCTGTGCTGTTACAGTTAAAGAAATACATGTATTTTTAAGCCTCCGCAACCAAGTAGCCGGAAGCATTATTTGATATTACTAGTTTTTGGGGGACGCATGAACCCACATGAAGTAACTGTTCCCAGAGGGTGATTATTCACAAGAAATTGATACATGCTCTCTTTTCTCATCCTATCTTTTCCAGGGACAAATGATCCAGTTTTAGATGCGCACCACCCAGAGAGTACCAACCTGCCTTCTTGCGTTCACTTCACCTCATACTCAAAGATGATTCCTCATCCTCTCAACCATACAAACACTTCGGATCTGTCCCACCTGTGGTCATCACCAACAGTGAGCTTATCTCTGTCCTTGGGCGCCATCTTTACATCGTCTCTCCAGAGCGAAAAGGGTGTTAACTCTGTCTTAAAGTACATGACGTTAATGCCTTTCTTGCTCCAACCAGATGACCTCTCTAGTGGTTATAAAGATAAGCAGCTTTTTGAGGGCACTTTGTAATCCATTTGGAGATGTCTACATTGCTTTAGAGAGGTAGAATGAACCCATCAGAAGCTATGGACAGAAAGAGGTGGACAGTAAATACTCCAAGAGAACTCTCACCATATTGAATGCAGATAAATCTCACAAAATCTGTAAACAACATCTTGGAACAATGAATAAATTTGCAGATTATTCGCCACAAAAATAATTGTGTTGGTTGCAACTTTTTTCAGATGTGCAATGTTTAACCTAACTAGGCCCGTCTTATAAAGAGTTACGATTAAAATCAATCGCATGTCTTTCAATCAATCACAAGTTTGCAGGCTCCTATCTCTCATGCGCATAGTTGCGGTTGATATCAATCGCAAGTAAGGGGTCATTCCATGTCAAATCACCCAATGGTTTTAACCCGACCATTTTTTATGCCTCCGCCACCGAAGGTGGTGCCGGAGGCATCATGTTTTCGGGTTGTCCGTCCGTACGTCCGTCCGTCCGTACGTCCGTCCGTCCGTCCCGTTTGACCGTTATCACAATATCTCAAGAACCATTTAAGATTTAAACTTAAGACTCGGGAATAGTATTTATCACCATAGGAAGACGATCTGATTAGATTTTGGAGTACGTAGGTCAAAGGTCACAGGTCACAGAGGTCAACTTATGAAATTCCTTGTATTGAGTTTGTTAGCGCGATATCTCAAGAACCATTTGAGATTTAAACTTCAAACTTAAGGATAGTATGTATCACCATAGGAAGACGATCTGATTAGATTTTGGAGCACGTATGTCAAAGGTCAAGGGTCACAGAGGTCAACTTATGAAATTCCATACATTGAGATTGTTATCATGATATCTCAAGAACCACTGGAGATTTAAACTTCAAACTTAGTGATAGTGTGTATCACTATAGGAAAACAATCTGATTAGATTTTGGAGCACGTATGTCAAAGGTCAAGGGTCACAGAGGTCAACTTATGAAATTCCATACATTGAGATTGTTATCATGATATCTCAAGAACCACTGGAGATTTAAACTTCAAACTTAGTGATAGTGTGTATCACTATAGGAAAACAATCTGATTAGATTTTGGAGCACGTAGGTCAAAGGTCAAGGGTCACAGAGGTCAACTTATGAAATTCCATACATTGAGATTGTTATCATAATATCTCAAGAACCACTAGAGATTTAAACTTCAAACTTAATGATAGTGTGTATCACCATAGGAAGACAATCTGATTAGATTTTGGAGCACGTAGGTCAAAGGTCAAAGGCCACAGCGCACATTATGAATGCAAAAACAGCTTGTGATCGCGTTTTATCAAGAACCGATTGATGGATTCATGCCAAAATTAGGTCATGTTTGTTACTTGCAGAGCCAATGAACTGAGTAGATTCTTGGTTCATAAGGTCAAAGGTCATGGGCCCATTATGTATGCAAAAATAGCTTGTGAACGCATTCTCATTAGAACTGACAGATGGATTACTATTTAACTCAGAACATCTTGCAGAGCCAATGAACTGAGTAGATTTTATGGTCATGAGGTCAAAGATCAAAGGGTCATATATGTATATGAGAAATTGCTTGTAATCACAATATTCTGAGAACCTGTCAATGGATTACCATTGAACGTGAATTCAATTTTTTTTTCTGTTTTGGTTTGTAAAATTGCTCTATAACGGAGGCATAATTTTCGACTGCGCGCAGTCGAATTCCATCTAGTTATTTTGATGAAACTTAGTGTACTTGTTGAGTGTGATCTCACAGCACCAAATCCCAAATTTTAGGTCAATCGGGTGAGGGGTTTGGGAGATACGGCCCACCAAATTTTGAGATTTTTTCAAAAATGGGGGTGGCGGGCCTACCTTTGAACCCTTGTATCTCGGGACCTAATGGGTCAATCTTCACAAAATTTGTATTGTTGGAAAGGGAATTCAATAAGGATTCCAAATCTGCCGCCATTTTGTAGATTCGTACATGTTGGGGTACTTTGACCTCTTGACCTCAGATTTGACCTTGAAATTGACCTTGTGGATCACGTAACTTTGACAACATTTTTCATGAAATGTAATCTCTGACATGTTCACTAAAACATATAAAAGTTTCAGAGATATAATATTTTTTGTTTAGGAGCAATAAGGATTGAAAGTATCCATGCTCACAGATATTCACAATAAACCCTATTATAATGTATACAATACATGCAATATGCACAGTACAACATACATCTTCCACATGCTTTTTGTTTTAGTCATATCCATCCTAAATGTCAGCAGTACTTGAATGGAAATAAAATGACAATTTCATATAGGCCTAAAGGGTTAACAGGATGTATGGCTTTAAACCTCTGAGTCGGTTCTAGGATAATTACCCCCTGGAAAATTAACCCTCAGGAAATGTCCCCCCCCCCCCCCAAGGACAATTACCCCCCCAAGGACTATCACACACAGAGGATTATTACCCCCCAGAAAATTACCTCCTAGGACAATCTGTCCCCCCCCAAGGACAATTAACCCCTGGACAATTTCCTCCTAGGACAATTACCCCCCCCCCCCCCCCGGGAAAATTACCCCTCAAGAATAATATACCCCCAAAAAATAAATCTGCCTGATTAAAACCACTTTATTATCAGGATGGACTTCCCCTTTAAACAAATAGGGGGGGGGGGGGGGGGGGGGGGGGGGGTAATTGTCCTCTGGGGTAATTGTCCTGAGAGGGTAGTTTTTCCAGAGGGGGGGGGGGGGGAATTTTCCAGGGGGTAATTATCCTAGAACTGACTCAGAGGTCTAAAGCCATACATCCTGTTAACCCTTTAGGCCTATATGAAATTGTCATTTTATTTCCATTCAAGTACTGCTGACATTAGGATGGATATGACTAAAACAAAAAAGCATGTGGAAGATGTATGTTGTACTGTGCATATTGCATGTATTGTATACATTATAATAGGGCTTATTGTGAATATCTGTGAGCATGGATACTTTCAATCCTTATTGCTCCTAAACAAAAAATATTATATCTCTGAAACTTTTATATGTTTTAGTGAACATGTCAGAGATTACATTTCATGAAAAATGTTGTCAAAGTTACGTGATCCACAAGGTCAATTTCAAGGTCAAATCTGAGGTCAAGAGGTCAAAGTACCCCAACATGTACGAATCTTCAAAATGGCGGCAGATTTGGAATCCTTATTGAATTCCCTTTCCAACAATACAAATTTTGAGAAGATTGACCCATTAGGTCCGAGATACAAGGGTTCAAAGGTAGGCCGCCACCCCCATTTTGAAAAAATCTCAAAATTTGGTGGGCCGTATCTCCCAAACCCCTCACCCGATTGACCTAAAATTTGGGATTTGGTGCTGTGAGATCACACTCAACAAGTTCACCAAGTTTCATCAAAATCAAAAATGGTCGGGTTAAGATTTTCAGATTTTTTGGGTGATTTGACATGGAATGACCCTAAGGCGCAATTAATCGCATCTGTTTATAAGACAGGACCCAGACGTGTAGTTTGTCAGTACCCGATGCTTTGATTCTAGGACTCTTACACCACTGACCAGTGACATTTGCTCACTGGTGAATTTCTCACGCTAACTGTTTAGTCGCCATGGATTCAAATCTAAGACCTCCCACAGTTTCTTTTAGAGATGCCATTTTTCAGGCCCTGTCAAGTTATTTTCGGACCATAGTTTAGGCTTTTTTGTGTACAAAATAGCTCATTCTAGGTGAATTTCAGGCCCTCTGATCATTTCTAACTGGCATCCCTGTGTCTTACATATGTACCGAACATGTGCCAAAATTTGACTACGGCGCCCTGTTTTGTTCCATTGTTCTGCTTAGGCAAGTAAAGGGTTCGTCTCATTCCTATCTCTAACCCTGTACCCCCAACCATTACAATCTTTGACCTGAACCAGCTTAAAATCCACTTGCAATGTGAGTTCTGACCTCAACCATATTTCGTGAAACAAGTCTAGAGCGAATGTCACCTGGCCAAAGTGTCTGCACAGACTACATTACATTACCCAAGTAGTGTCAAGAAGAGTTAAAAGGAAAGTCCACTTTATAATTTGTTGGCTCTGATAAAAGTAGAAAAATGGATCAGTGTTGGTTTGAGAAAACTCGTGAGAAATTAATGAATTGTAAAACTTATTATCAATGAAACAAAAATGGGCAACACTGACAGAACCTTTGAGCATAGATCCAATTCCATTTTCTTGGTTGCTGATGAAAGATTGGATCTATTTCATACTAAGTGTAAAAACCTGAGAATTGTATCTCGGACTATTCTCGGAGCATGTGTAAGTCAATACTCTTTAGAAAAGAAAGAAAATCATTAACTTTTTTGGAACAGAAACCGAAACGAGTCAGAAACTAAAAGGGCAGGTCCCAGAGATATCAATATGCTTTCGATTGAGAACAAAAAGTCATAACATATTCTTCTTGAGATTTTGCCCCAACTTTTCTGATCTATTTCCTTACATTTTCTGTTTGAATTTGCATAGACCAACATAATGTCAAGGTGGACTTGTCCTTAAGAAAGTGTGTGTGTGTGTGTGTGTTAGAGAGAGAGAGTGAGAAGAAGTAAACATGAAAGCTGTGAGATGTATGAAGGGTACTACCACTTGAAAAACACTGGATATACATACATTATGTATATTTTTCAGGCATAAGGCAAAGTTAAAGAGTCGGGAGGATAAGAAAGAATTGAAGAAAAGAGCGACTGTTGAAAGATATGAGAAGCATGGCGATTGTTGTTGTTGTTCTTGGGTTTTAAGGCTGACCAATCTAAAAAGATTATTTCTGCCTGGCTGGGCTGTTTTTTTTTTAGTTTTACATCACTGATGATTAGTTGGTGCTGTTTCTTTTCCTCTTCAGTGGGTATCATGTACTGTGCAGCTTCCGTTTATTCGATGGTGCGGGCGATGAAATATCAAGTTTAATTTATTCAATTCCATGTTGGCCAAACTCTGTATATAGAGGGCTCTGTTACTCGTAGCTACAATCGGCCATTTTTGTAATGTAATCAATTTTAATGCATACGTCATTGTGAAGTGCCTCGATACAATTTTTTCATTGACCTGTTAACGAATAAATGTACAGGGTGTACATGCAGGCGCGGATCCAGGATTTCTTAGGGGGGGGGGGCCCAAATTTGAAATTATGCGAGCCAAAAATTGGAACGTAATGGTGACCAGCAGTGACGTAATGC